TTGAAGCATAGGCTTGATGAACTGTAATTAACTTAGTCATTTCCTTATTGATGTACTTATAGATGGTCCTGTTTTTCACTATTATACAAATACTACTGACATCATGTAAACTTCTGTATTTCAGATTCTTTCCTTAGAGTAGATTTTCAGAATATTTTTTACTGGATCAAAAGCCAAATACATTTCCTTACATCTTGTTACTTCCCAATTGACAGTGTACTCAGCAAATGTAAATGAATCTACCAATTTAAAGAGGAAAAATCAGGGCCTAAGAGTTTAAGTGACTTGCTCCAAGTTACAAAGTCACACAGATAGAGAGCCCAAGCCAAGACAAAAAGCAATCATCTGACTCTAGTCCTCAATTCACTAGGGACATAAGCCTTTCTTTTATCTCTTGGTTTTATTTAACCTTAGATGTTTGGGAATGTTGTCAAGTAGCTTACTCTCTGCTCTTCTCATATGAGATTTTGAGGAATAAAATTCACACCTTCAATAAAAATGCTAAGGTCTCATATCACGTGAGTCACATTCTACCCAATGACAGCAAAATACACATGAAACATTTACCAAAATAGACCATATGCTAGCCCATAAAATAAGCAAATAAATTTCAAAGGGTTGAAGTCATACGAAGTATGTTTTCTGGCCCCAGTAGCATTAAACTAGAAATCAATAACAGAGGCGTGTCTTTTTCCTGGCTGGTTTCCGTGGTTCCTGCCTGAGAACTGCTGATAGCAATATGTCTTCAGGAAATGCCACAAATGGGCTCCATGCCCCTCAGTTCAAAGCAATAGTTGCTGTGCCAGATGATCAGTGCAAAGATATCAACCTATCTGACTATAGAGAAAAATATGCTGTGTTCTTCTTTTACCCTCTTGACTTCACCTTTGAGTACCCCATGGAGATCATTGCTTTCAGTGATTGGGCAGAAGAATTGAAGAAACTCAATTGCTGGTCTTTCTTGGTGGTGCAATGGTTAAGAATCTGCCTGCCAAAGAAGGGGATAGGTGTTTGATCCCTGGTCCGGGAAGATTCCATGTGCTGCGGGGTAACTAAGTTCATGTGCTACAACTTCTGAGCTCACACGCCACAACTACTGAAGCCTGTGCACCCCTGAGCCTATGCTCCTCAAGAGAAGCCTCTGCATGAGAAGCCTGAGGACCACAACAGAGAACAAGCCCTTCTCACTGCAACTAGCAAAAGCCCTCGAGAAGCAATGAAGACCCAGTGCAGCCTAAAATAAATAAGTTAAAAAAAAAAAAAGAAACTCCACTGCCAAGTGATGGATGTTTCCGTGGGTTTTCACTTCTTGTCACCTGGCGTGGATTAACACACCCAAGAAACAAGGAGGACTAGGGCCCGGGAACAGTCCCTTGATATCAGACCCCCAGGGCACCACTGCTCACTATGGGGTCTTAAAGGCTGATGAAGGCATCTCATTCAGACCCTTTCTGCTACTGACGATAAAGGTATCCTTTGAAAGACCACCACCAACGACCTTCCTGTTGGCCACTCTGTGGATGAGACACTGAGACTAGTTCAGGCCTTTCCGTTTATTGACACACATGGCAAAGTGTGCCCAGCTGGCTGGGAGTCTCCAGTGATACCATCACGTCTGATGTCCAGAAGAGCGAAGAATATTTCTCCAAGTAGAACTGAGCTCTGGGCCATTTTAGGGCCAGGCTGCAGTAGAGGGCCTTGAGAACAAAACCTCCTTTGTCCTATTGCCATGCTTAAAACCAAGGCCTTGCACTCATTCTAGATGTGATATGGACCAGGACAGGCCTTTCCTGCAGGCGTTGGGGAGGCAGATCTCTCTTCCTCTGTACAGAGTGACCTGAGCTGTGTTATGGGGCAGGCCAACTGATGTGTACAGTAGTAGGGTATATAGTAGCAGGGTATCACTTTTAATCTTTTGTAGTTTCTATTAAACTTGAGCTAAAGGGAAAAAAGAAACTAATAGCAGAAAGTTATCTCAAAAAATTTCAAATATTTGGAAGCTAGATAACACATTTAATTCAAAGAAGAAATTAAAAGGAAATTAGAACATTTTTTTTTACTTCTTGAGATGAGCACTGTCACAATTTCACAAAGAGAGACTCAGGCTTAGAAGTTCTGCTTAAACAATTGGTTGGTAAGTGGTGACTCAGGCTCACTTAAAATGCCTTTCTCCACCTAGTTCTTCCATGTATACTGGGTCCATGGATGCCTGAACTTAATCAGAAGTGTAGAATGTATTTTGACTGTAACAAAAATGAAAACCATTGCATATCAAGATTTGTTGGATGTCACTAAAGCAATTCCTGAGGAGAAATTTGTGACTAAATGACTAATGACTGTATTAGGAAAGATGAGTAATACAGTCATCTGTATTGTACTAAGTGACAATACTAGGAAAGAAGATCACAGATCATTGACATAAGCAACAAGGGAAGAAGAACAAATTAAATCTGAAGTAAGCAGAAGAAAGGAATTAATAAAGATCTGAGCAAAAACTAATACAATGAGAAACAGGAAAACATTAGAGAAAATCAATGAAACCAAAAGATGATCCGTTGAGTTCAATAAAACTGATGAACCTCTAGTCAGACTGATCAAGAAAAAAGAAACACAAATTACCAATCGCAAGAATGAGAGAGGTGCCTCCTGGACTGTCTGTTCCTTTGCCCAAAGTGAACTCTATTTCTTCTCCTTTTTCTCCTTTCCTTCCTGGTCATCCTCCTACTGCTTCTTTTAATAGATTTATTTCCTGATAATCACAGTTACACACGTTCAAGGCAGATAATTTAGAAAACACACGGAGAAAACCGTAAAGATCATCTTTGTTCTCCTCTCCCACTCTTAGAAATAGCCACTGCTTAATATCTACATTCTTGCCTTTTCTCTAAGCATCTTCTCCCTAAATTGTATCAGACTATGCATAATTTTTGTAAAAATATGTATTTATTTGACTGCCTCGGGTTTTAGTTGTGGTGCACGGACTCTCTAGTTGTGGCATGTAGGCTTAGTCGCTCAGCTGCGGTTGGGATCTTAATTCCCTGACCAGGAACAGAACCTCTGTCCCCGGCACTGCAAGGCGGACTCTTAACCACTGGACTACCAGGGAAGTCCTTATGCTTGTTGTTATACGCATGCATCACAATTTTAAAGCAAAAACTAACAATAGAACCCTACACCAGTGTGCTGTTTGCCATGAGATAAACAGCACTGGAAATGTGTTCAAATCTTGAGTCCATCTTCAGTTTCACAACCTTGCTTTGATCGTCCTACCCACTCCAAGCCCCATTTTGCCATCTTCCAAGACCTGCAGGGACCCAGCCTTATCACTTTTTGGAAAGGATTTGAAATCTTGAAGAGAATGTAAGAGATAGATTCTCTCTTCCTTGAGGGTTTGCATTTGAACTTCAACCCTAGGGGTGGCATGAAAGATTTGTTTCCTGCCCAGGGAATTTCTTGACGGCAGACATGAAATTAAGAGACACTTGCTCCTTGAAAGGAAAGCTATGACAAACCTAGACAGTGTATTAAAAAGCAGAGACATCACTTTGCCGAAAAAGGTCTGTTTAGTCAAAGCTATGGTTTTTTCAGTAGTCATGTACAGATGTGAGAGTTGGACCATAAAGAAGGCCGAGCACTGAAGAGCTGATGCTTTCAAACTACGGTGCTGGAGAAGACTCTTGAGAGTCCCTTGGACAGCAAAGAGATCAAACCAGGCAATTCTAAAGGAAATCAACCCTGAATATTCACTGTAAGGACTGATGCTGAAGCTCCAATATTTTGGCCACCTGATGCAAAGAGCCAACTCACTGGAAAAGACCCTGATGCTGAGAAAGACTGAGGGCAGAAGAAGGGAGAGACAGAGGACGAGATGGTTGGATGGTATCACCGACTCAGTGGACATGAGTTTGAGCAAACTCTGGGAAATAGTGAAGGACAGGGAGGCCTGGAGTGCTGTAGTCCAGGGGGTCGCGAAGAGTTGGACATGACTTAGCAACTGGACAACAAGGAATTTCAGACAATAGCAAGTGCAGACGGTGACCCACACCTCCCAGGGATGATTGGTCTCTTTTAGTTTAGTAATAATAACAACAGGTATTGGTGACAAGTGCTCTACATGCATCATTTCCTTGAACCCTCACATTGACAAGTGAAGAAGGTCCCCCCTTTATATGTTAAGAACTGAAGGCCCAGGACTTCCTGGCGGTCCAGTGGTTAAGACTCAGTGCTTACACAGCAGAGGGCATGGGTTCGATTCCCGGTTAGGGAACGAATAAATAAATTCCCCACGGCAGCACAGCGCTATCAAACACACAAAAAAGACAACTTTCCCAGGGACACAGAACTAGTACATGGGTGGAGCTACTACTTGAGCCCAGGTCTTTCTAACTCCAGACCGAGAACTTGTAGAATTAGTGCCTTCATGATGAAATGAAGGGACCTTACTGCTTTGGTTTCTTGTTTTTCAACAGTCAGACTTGAAAAACTGTCAGGGAAGTGCTTCAGGCTACATCATGGGCCCATGATTGGCTTGCAACAGGCACTTTCCAAGCCTGACCTGGGACACTAAATGCAAAAAACAGTTAGTCCTTACCATGTTTATCTGGCTAGTTCTGGGTATAAGTTCTCATTCTTCCAGACTCCTCCCTGTGCCGTCTAAATCATAGCTGGTGTCTCACCCTCCTGTCCCCACTAAAGGCATTTATAGACTTAACCATGATGCCAGCCTCTGTGTTGCCAGCCTCCTTCAGTCTTCATAATAATCTTGCCAGGAGGCACAATGGAAATGCCATCTCCATTTCAAAGATGGAGAAACTGAGTCCCAGAGACTCAGCTTACACGGAGCTAAGCAGCAGAGCTGGGATTAGACACCTGGGTTCTGTGACACCAAAGCATACTCTATGCAACCTCCATCTCTGCCTCACCTGCTGGGTGGTACCCTTTCTCACATCAAGCTCACTGACTCTTTTGGATGTCTCCCTGTGTCTGTCCTCCTAGTTCGGATGAAGATGTCAAGTTGCTCAGGCTCCTGGCTCTCCAGATGCTTCATCACACTGGTCTTCCTCCAGCTGCCTTTGCACATGTCAGGTAAGAGTTTCTGAACCTCTTTCACTGCCTGGGACATTGGGCAAAGGGGTCCAACAGAGTCAGGGACAGCACTCTGGGGAACGTGTACTGCACCGTCTGCAGCATGGGCCTCGGCCAAGAGAAGACCATAGCCGTGGTCATAGGAGATAAACGCAGGGTAGGAAAAAAGCTTGAAGTCCCTGGTGGTTCCAGAGAAAACTCCTATGCTAGTTGAAACTTAAGAAAGCAATTCTGGTTTTTTAAAATTCTATCAATAACAAATGTTTATTGTGGACAATTTGAAAAAATACAGAACATTTAAAATAAACCCCTAAATGGCCTAGAATCTCATAAATTGGAAAGAACAACTGCTAACATTTGGGGGCATTTCTTTTTTTTTAACCATTAAAAAAATTGAAATATAGTTAATTTACAATGTTGTGTTAGTTTCAGATGTATAGCAAAGTGAATCAGTTTTACAGATCTATATATATAGACATATATATAGTGTATACACTACATATCTGTGTATACACTATATATATGTCTATACACTATATATATATACACTATATATGTCTGTACATATATACATACACACATATATACATATATATATGTATATAGTGAAGGGATTTCTTTGAAGACTTTCTTCTATGTCTATATCTCTGAGTGTTCATGTGTTTATGTGTATGTATTCTTCTGCTCAGGTTTATTTTTCCCCTCCACTTACAATGTCATGAACATTGTTCACCCACGTCCTTAAGTCATTCTCTACAGCATGATTTTTAAGGGCTGAATAGTATTTCATTGTGTGGTTATGGCATAACACAATTATTCAGATCTCCATTTCTAGACATCTGAAGGTTTCCATTTTTTCCTTATATTATAATAAATGGTACAATGCATATCTTAGCACATATTTTGGGAAGTGATTCGATTGTTTTCTTAGAATGTGTTTCTGGAAGTAGAATTAATAGGTCAAAAGGGTATGACTCTTTTAAAGACTCTTGAAACATGGAGCCCTGTGGCAGAGCTGAGTGGTTTTAGAGCCAAGAAAGACTGTGGTCTTGGGTCCCAGATGGGGAGGAGTCATGGACCTCTGCCAATCTCTTTTGTCTTTTCTCTCTGTCCCCCCTTATCTTACTACTGCCACTGTCTCTCACTGAGAGCTAAGTGCCTGATCTCATTAAATGTCCCAAGAACCCAATGGAATAGAGTTGGCAGGCCAGGCTTGGTGAGCCTCAGTCTCTGGCCTGGGGTCACGCAGTGCTGAGTGAAAGACTTGCATCCAGCTTATGCTCTTCGCCTCTTGACATAAAGCCTCTTCTGCTGTTATTTCCTTCTCCATGTTGTCTCTCCTTTCTCCTTTCTCTCCTGCCTAGACATTCAGCTTGCTGCTGTAGCTCTATAGAAATTGGTTTGCCCTGGCCAATAGGGCTCAGGGCAAAGAGTTCACTGACTGCAGTTTTATCCTGGAATGAGGATTTAAAGGGGAAGCAGGTGGGTGCTCACAAGATGATAGGGGATTCCTGAGGGCGCACCTCCAGTTCTCCAAAGTCTCTAGGTAGTTTTTTCATATAGGGTAGGGTGAGATTGTGGTTTAGGTGCTGAGTTTTGTTTTGTTTTGTTTTGTTTTGTCTTGTCTTATACCTTTTATTCTTTTTAAATTTAATTTAATTTATTTGACCATGCTGCACAACATGTGAGATCTTAGCTCCCAAATGAGGAATTGAACCCATGCCCCTGCATTGGACGCACAGAGTCTTATCCACTGGACCACCAGGGAAGTCCCTAGATGCTGAGTTTTTTTACATTTACTTTATTATTGGCTGTGCTGGGTCTTCCTTGCTGCCCATCAGCTTTCTCTAGTTGTGGTGAGCAGAGGCTGCTCTCTAGTTTTGGTGCTTGGGCTTTTCGTTGTGGTGGCTTTTGTTGTTGCAGAGCACAGGCTCTAGAGTATGTGGGCTTCAGTAGTTTCTGAGTATTAGCTCAGTAGTTGTGGTGCATGGGCTTAGCTGTCCTATGGCCTGTGGAATCTTCCTGGAACAGGGATCGAACCTGTGTCCTCTGCATTGGCAGGAGGATTCTTAACCACTGGACCATCAGGGAAATCCAAATTGCTGAGCATGACTCATTGTCTTCAGGCAGGGTCATTGAAACCAATCCTGAGAGATAAACATCTCACTTTAAAGTCATCCCTCGGTCAGCCGGGCTTTGAGTTGCTGAGAGAAGCAGAGACCTTCACCATCTTGGCTTCAGGTGTCTCTTGAGGTGACAAAGGCTGTTGGGATGTGCCCGAAACACCTGCCATTCAAAGTGGGGCCCTGGCATGGAAGAAGCTCTCAGTGGGCGGTCACAGGTGCTTTCTCTTTCAGCCGAATCTCCAGGGAGCTTCTCACCATCAGTGGTGGCTCTTGCTGTGATCCTACCTGTCCTGGGGATTTTCATCATGGTGGGCATTTACATCATCTGGAAGCAAAGAAGGTCAAAAGGTAACTGAGTGGTAAGGGAGCCCAGACCAGCAGGAAATAGTACTGCAGACTCTCTAGGGAAAGGCTGGGAGGATGCGACACAGATCTAACAGTTATGCATAGGTTGTCTGGGAGAACACTGGTAAAGCCATGCTCTCGGAGACCACATTGCAGAGAGGGTCAATAGGAAACTCCTGGGCGGGGCTGTGAATTCTCATCTTTAGGGAAATTGGCACAGAACACATCATGCAAATCTTCTTATTAATTAAGAACTCCAGTTGTATCCATTGGATGAAACCCTTAATAGGGTTGCATTTCATGGCTCTCAGGGTTGCAAAGGATCTTGAAAGTCACATAATCCAACACTCCTTTCTGCATCTGATGGTTTGAAGACCCTCTAATCCTTTCTACTGGTCACACACTCATAGTGACAGGGAGCAAAATCCTGCTCAGGCCGCCTGTGGACGGCTCTGCTTATTAGAAAAGCTGCTGCTGCTAAGTCACTTCAGTCGTGTCTGACTCTGTGTGACCCCATAGACGGCAGCCCACCAGGCTCCTCCATCCCTGGGATTCTCCAGGCAAGAATACTGGAGTGGGTGTTAGAAAAGGGCCTTCCTTAGGGGAAAAAAAAAAGAAAAGAAAAGACCCTTCCTTAAGTTGACATTTCTCTCCCTTCCAGAGAGGCTTCTCTATGAACATGCGATGGAGGTAGGTAAGTGTCCTGGGCTGGGTGGAGATGTTTCTCCATTTTGTTCATTTTTGTGTCCCCAGGACCCACTAATCTAAATTCTGGTCCTGCAGGTCCCAGCAACTGCTATCCTTGAGGTGGGGCATCAGAACCCATCATTTCCACTTTCTGATGACTTTTTCTTATAATATCTTGCCTTCCAATGTGTTTGGTGATGTTGTCTGTGAACTCATGGCTTGATCTGATTCTGGGAGAGTCCTGTAGCTCTAACATAGGGGACATGTTTATTCATTCAACAAATAATTGATAATTCTCTACTAAGTGGTGATGCTGTGACACAATGGTGAGTGAAAGTGGACACAATCTTTGCCTTCTTGGAAGCTTTGATCCAGTCAGAGAGGGACACATGAATTTAATGGTGAGACAAATGCCGCAAATGGAAATTCTGAAGGCTGGAGAGATGGTGACCAGGTGAAACTAACCAGACTTCAGGAACAGAAGAGGATTTTCCAAAGGAAGTGATGTTTGACCTGGAGGATGGACTGACATGGGGGAAGAGAGAACAGAAAACCACCCACAGCAGAAGAGCTTGAGGAAGTGACATGGTGCCTGAATGAGGGGAAAGGGGGCAGCAGATGATGCTGCAGAGGGAGGCAGGGACCAGCATGTGAGGCCTTGGGGACCACATGAAGGTCTTCAGTTTTCTCTGTGGAGCAGTGGTGAAGCTGTGAATAGGATATCCCGACCAGAATTACGCTTCCAGAAAGCTCTCTTTGGCTGCTGTGTTGAGAGGAGACCAGAGGGAGGAGGCAGAATGTGAGGGCAGTTTGGGCCACTCTTTCTGGCATCCTGATGAGAAGTGATGAGGGACCGGATAAGTGGGGAGGAGGTGAAGATAGAGGAGGATATGTTCAAGAGCCCATAAACTCCATTAGAAGCAGAGATCCTCAAGAAAATGGCACAGAATCTCATTTTCTTTTACTTTCCTTCCTCTAGAAAATCTTCTCTCAGACCATGCGAAAGAAAAAGGTAATTATATGTATAGCATAAGGGGTAGGGAACAGATAGCATATTTTTCCTCCTTCTACATAAATGCTGACAGTCACTTGTTAAACATACAATATACATGTGTGTATGTGTATACACACGCACACACTCCCCACACATATCTCCTCTGTTAGTATTATTGGACTTTGCTTTCCAGTATCAAGTGTTGGTAGCTATGGGTGAGGGGACTCCTGTGGACAGAATTCATTGGTCCATTCATTGGCTTTTCCACCAATCACCTAAAAAAAAGATCTATATACTATGTAAAAATATATTAAGATGGTATTATGGGGGACTTCCCTCATGGTCCAGTGGTTAAGAATCTGCACTTCCAATGCAGGGGGCACAGATTTAATCCTTGGTTGGGGAACTAAGATCCTGCAGGCTGTGTGGTACAGGTCCCAGTTTTTTTTTTTTGAAAAGTTATTACAGGATGTATGAGAATCTCAAGGATCCATATAAACTTTGCATTGATAGAGGTGGTGCACTGACAGTGGGAGGATCATAGGTGCTGGAGTCAGCAGCATCTGGTTCAGATCTGCCATTTACAGGCTTGGGTTAAGTCACTACTACTCTGAGGTTTGGTTTCCTCATCTGTAAAATTGTGATAATAAATCCTCTCACCTGATTGTTTTCAGTATTAACGAAGACAACTTAAAAAAAAAAACCCTCCTGCTACAATTCCTGAAACCTTTCTCTTATTACCATTTTATCTTCATTAACTAAATGCTTGCTCTGGGCCACTGAGGATAAAAGATAGAACCCTGAGTTCAAAAAGCAGGTGGGACTCTGCCCTTTGAAAGTCTACCTGGGAAGACAAATCATTGTCTTCTAGTTCAGAAATGACTCCACATGCAATGATTTCTGCATCTCCTCCCTTCCCCCCTCTCATCTCCTCCAGACTGGTTAAAGCGTGGGATGCAGCCTCAAGGATGCAATGACCATCCTGTCCTAGAAGGGAAGGGACAGTGTGGGGTAGTATGAAAGCCTCCAGCTAGGAGTCAGACAGACTTGCATGTGAATCCTGCCTCCTTGGCCACTTACTAACTGGATAATCTGGACAAATTTCCATGTCCCTCTGAGCCTCAGGCCACTCTGTAAAATGGGAATAATCATTATATGCACCTCACATTATTGAGAGGATTCAGGACCTACATCATAAGAATAGGACACGATAAATGGAGGCTGTTGGTAGTGGGAATGGTAAAATAACGTCTCATTGGGAGGCTCTATCATACTCAGCTTCATTGCCCCAATGCCCAGCACCTAATACATGCCCAGCCGTTAGCACAGGGCCTGACAGTAAACTCAGGTGGATAACTTCAGCTCTGTGGTGGGGCCAGTGCTGAGGGGGAAGGTGGGCAGACCACCCTCCCAGAAAAGCTGAAGGTACTCCCCCAAAGCACAGAAGCATATGTACACGTCCCAGACCTCCTGGGGTCACAGTTCTTCAGGGAGGGCTACTGTAGAGAGTAATAGAACATGTCAGTAAGTGAACAGTGGGTCTTCAGCTAGTTTCACACCATAGATATTATGGCACAGCATAATGCGGTACATGTTCAGTCATGTCTGGCTCTTTGTAACTCCATGGACTCTGGCCCACCAGGCTCATCTGTCCAAGGAATTCGCCAGGAAAGAATACTGGAGTGGGTAGCCATTCCCTTCTCCGGGGGATCTTCCTGACCCACGGATCGAACCCAGGTCTCCTGCATTGCAGGCAGATTCCTTACCATCTGAGCCAGCAGGGAAGCCCAGCAGTTATAAAAGAGCAGCAAGGCATACAGTCATGGACACTGGTTACGAACATGGAAAAATTCATACAGACAGCGGAAAGGAAACCAGGCAGACCAAGGGAGGGGAGGAGGAGCTGGAGTCAGGGTGGTCCAGGTCGCCCGGAAAGTGGCACCGGCACAGTGAATTTCCCATCTGCCCGCAGGGAGATGCGACTGGACTGGGGCTGATGGCATCGTCATCGTCCTTTCCGCCAGGGGTGGGGGGTGGCGTGATGAGCCCTCCTGCTCACTTGCGCTTCTTTCTCTGTTTTCTAGGACGACTCCATAAAGCTCTCAGTAAGTTCTGCTTCTCATCTGTGCTCCAAACCTTCTGCAGACATCTTTGTTTTAGGATAAGAGCCCCAGATTCAGCTCCTGGGGCAGAAGAGAGGGGACAAAGGACCTAAAGCACATGGGTTGGGAATTTTTTGGCTTCATAAAGGCCTCTTTTTTTTTTCTCAAATATTCCCTGCTCCTGTTTCCTGCACAATTGTTATCTGGTCTCTAAAAAGGACATGTTTTAGCAAGAAGAGAGGTACCTCCTACAGGTGAAGTCATCAGGAAGACACTTCTATCACTCAGGCATGACATTCGGTTAGGTGGAATCCAAGGTAGATGGATCCTCACTCAACTGAATATATGGAGCAGTGCTTCTCTACCCTTTCATGTATGAGAACCTCGTTATAACAACAACTACCCCAAATCCTCAAACATGTGACGTATCTATATGACTTCACACTGAGAAAATATGCATTAGAAAATCTAATGGAAATTCAATAACAGTTTTAAATGAATCTATATTTTATTTTTCTCCCACAACATTGCATATATTTATGTGAGATGTGTTGTACGTTGAGTCTGCAGGTCATTTTGGCTCCCATAGGAACTTGCTGACCCTCTGCATTATTGCTGGGGACCCGGGCTGGGAGTCATTGCTGTTGAAACACTGTCATGGGGGAAGGATCTGCTCTAGGAGTGTGGTTGGGATGGGACTGGAGCATCACAGGCACGTAGAAGCCCTCATTCTGATTTATCAAATTGTTTTTATTCTCTAGAGAAACTCCGGAGAGAACTGAGTAAGTACCTTTGCTCTTATAACTTCCATAACATCTTCTTTTCTATTGATTCCGTTTCCAAAGAAAACTCATTCTCTGTGTTTCTTCTTTTGTAGAGTTAAAAAGAGCTGCAGCAAACTCAGGTGAGATGCACTTTCCTCATCCAGCACCCCCTCATCCTTCCACCATTCCCCATCCCCACCCTGTATCAGAAAGTCTCCATTTATTTCTCCATCACTTTAACAATGCCTTTTTTTCTGTCTTTCAGGCTGGAGAAGGGCCCGGCTGCACTTTGGTAAGGTACACCCATCAGATGGATCCACCGCTGAGAGCCCATGACTCTGTTTCTTTAGAAGGAAGACTGTAATTTTAACAAAATTTTAAGTCTAATCTGTGTATCTGTTAATCAAATTTTGAAAATCTTTTCTTTTTGGAGGATCAAATTTAGATTTAGAAAGTCTCCTTTCTTTTAAAACACTGATAAATATTTGGTTTACTCCTCTTAAGGGTATTCTATGATTTGTGAGATTTTTCTTAAGTCTGTTGGTTATTTGTATTTTATCTCTGTGACTTGTCTGCTCCTGTTCTATTCTAGCTACTTTTCAGTTTGTGGGGACTTTTTGCTATATTAACCCTTGGTCGTATTTTTCACACAGTATGTTTCTGAGTTTTCATTTGCACGTTAGTTTCCTCCGTGTATTCCTTTTGAAGCATGGGTGTTTTATTTTTCTGCAGTCAAATCCAGTCATCTTTCCCTGTGTAGTCTCTCCTGTGCTTTCAGGTTGAGCAGTCCTTCCTTTCCCACTATTGGACAGCTAGTCAGTGCTCCTGTCTCTTTCTACGCATCTGCCACATCCTTCTTTCTCTGCAGATTCGTTTCCTTGGTGAGTGGTGATTCTCAGAGAAGAGAGTGAGTTGGGCTGAAGCCCCAACAATGTAGACTACAAAAAAGTTTCATTGTTTTATTTGAAAAGATTTGCACATCTCTTCAATTTTTTTCCTAGATCACATTTTTTTTTGTTGCTGTTTGAATGAGACCTGTTATTTTCACTGCTTTGCTGCCCTCCCTGCATTTTCCAAGATGCTCATCCCCTTTCCATTCAGAAGGTTTTCATTTAGGCAGGGACAATAGAATCCATGAGTCGGCTCATTGAGAAAACACCGGGTCAACTAGATTGACATTCTGGGAACTCACAAACCCTTTTCACTCTCCCAGTCTGATTCATTCCCACTACTTGACTGAGTGTGCATTTTGTGGATTTAACTCTCCAAAATGAGCTTGTTTTTTGACTTAGGGAAGGAAGGAGATTCATTGTCACCCTCATAATCCATAATTTTAAGGAAGTTATCTCTCTACATTAACATTTTAAGATGATGACTATAGGCAATAATTTTAGTTAAGAAAATGAGCATCACACACTCATTATCTAGTGCATTAGCTCATCAAATCTGCACAACAGCTCTCCAACATCGGTGCTGCTATTATTCCCACTTTACAGATGAAGGTTTAGAGATGAACAACAAGCCCAGTATCACATAACTAGTGTAAGACAGAGCTGGGGCTCCAATATGCTATCAAGCTACTGGGTCTAACCTCAAAACTTGTTCATTATCATACGTGAGAGTCCTTTGGACCAGCAAAGACAAAGGCAGTATTTCTTAAGGATTAAGGCAGCTTCACAGACAGATGAGAAACTTCTCCCTCTTTTACCTAATCCACTAGCAGATGTAGGAGACTGGACAACATATTGTTTTTTAGTTCCAGGACATGTGGGGATGGGAGCACCATGGTTGCAGACCTAGAGATGATTATTCCCTCCACAGCTACTCAGAGGTCGCTGGAGACTTAGCTTCCTAAAACCTCACCTCTCTGTGACTCTCTGCAGTGACTGTGACCCTGGACCCAGACACAGCGCATCCCAAACTCATCCTGTCTGAGGACCGCAAGTGTGTGAAGCTTGGAGACATAAGGCAGCCTGTGCCCGACAATCCCGAGCGATTTGACTTCGTTGTCAGCGTCCTGGGCTCCGAGTACTTCGTAGCTGGCTGTCACTACTGGGAGGTGTCTGTGGCAGACAAGACCAAATGGGCCCTGGGGGTGTGTAGTGAGTCAGTGAGCAGGAAGGGGAAGGTCACTGCCTCGCCCGCCAACGGACACTGGCTCCTGCGACAGAATCACGGGAATGAGTATGAGGCCCTCACATCCCCGCAGACCTCCTTCCGCCTGAAGGAGCCCCCGAGGTGTGTGGGGATTTTTCTGGACTATGAAGCAGGAGTCATCTCCTTCTACAATGTGACCAACCAGTCCCACATCTTTACTTTCACCCACAGTTTCTCCGGCCCCCTCCGCCCTTTCTTTGAACCTTGCCTTCATGATGGAGGGAAAAACACAGCACCTCTAATTATCTGTTCTGAACTCCAGAAACCAGAGACAGAAGAAAGAGGCCAGGCTAATGGAGATGTGGCCCTGCAGGTGGACCCTTTCTTGCTCCCTGCTCAGGCATCAGAGCTCGCCCCACTCAGGGATATGATCCTGTCCTGGTCCTCTGACCTTGGGCCAGCCCTCCAGGGGCTCAAGGTTCCTTCTTTTTAGGGATGGGCCTCATCACCTGATTCTCAGACTCTCTTGCCCAGTGCCCTGGATTTCGGTCTCCTGGCCCAGTGATTCTGGAGCATCTCCTCTCCTTTCCCCCAGCCCAGACCCCTTTGTGGTTTCTCTTGTACCACCTTTCTCCCAGGGCTCGGTTTTAGAACTTCTGGGAACTTGAAGTTTCCATTGCCCTGCAAGAATTCTTAAAAACCAAATGAACAATCAGATTAGGTTTAGGTGATGCTGTGGAATGTGTGTCACTGAGATATAGGGACTCTCTACTCAAGGGTCTTCTTAAAAGCACTTCATCCTGCCTCATCCTGCACTCAGGCTTGTAGTTATGAAGTTAGGATGCCCAGCCCTGACTTATTTACCACATCAAGAATCACTTTTCTCCTTTTCTCAGTTCAGGCTTCTAACCCCCCAAGGACTGCTTTTTAAAAGTAAACTTCTTTTGGATCACATACTCTTCCCTTTTTCTTCTGGAATATATGGCAGAGGGCCAGAGGGATTTAAAAAAAACAAAGTCACTGTTTTCTATTTCCTTGATGCTATCTACAGTATAGTTTGGTGACATGTGGAACTAACATGTGTGCGTGTTAAGCCGCTCAGTTGTGTCCGACTCTTTGCAACCCTATAGACTGCAGCCTACCAGACTCCTCTGTCCATGGGGATTCTCCGGGCAAGAATACTAGAGTGGGTTTCTATGACCTCCTCCAGGAAATCTTCCTAACCCAGAGATGGAACCTAGATCACCTGCATTGCAGGCAGATTCTTTACCATTTGAGCCACTAGAGAATGTTTTCAAAGCTAACTTGGTGATAACCAGGTATGGGGACTTTAAACATGGTAGCCGTAATCTTAATTTTGAAAAACCTAAGGATCACCCTCAGGAAGATAGGAAGCAAGGCTTCATACAGAGTAGCCCAGCTGTGTGTGGCCTTGAAAAGTCAGCTGTGGGTGAGGCCGTGTGTTACACTGATCCTTTTCAATCCCCTCTGAGATTCAGAGAGGAATTTTTTGTTTGCTTTTGTACAGTCCTTAAATAAAAGCTTGGTATTAGTCATTTGGCATGCTCCTATTTTCATCGGGAATGAGAAGCTGTGGGGAAAGGCTTTGGGCTGGTAAGCAAAAAGCACATTATAGGACTGCTTTTGAAGAGTCTTAATTCCACCCAGGTGAGTTTAATCAGTTAAAAATAAAGCCACAGTTTTATTTCTGAGTCTGCCTTCTCAGTATTTCATTTATATCTATTTATAAAGTTGTAGTGTATGTGGGAAATTTATATTTCACTCATCCGTATTTAGTTTCAAACATACTTTTGTGACTATCCTGGTCTTATAACTGATTCACATTATTCACACTGGCTGCACCCAAGAAAACTTACCAACAGGAAAGAGAACTGACATTTGTGGTGGCAGAAGTATTACATATGTTAACTTATTTAATTCTTACAGTAATTCAGCCAGGGATTTTATAGGGGAAGGAAATAATGCAAGGTGGTAGAACTGGGATTATAAATCTAGTGTATCTATCTCTGAAGACAATACTCTTTTTTCTCTTTGCACTGAAATATTCTTGAAAATGTGAGAGGCTTGTAGAATTTTAGCCTACGTATTTGATTTAAAAAAAAATTAAACCTGAGAAAAAAAAATCTTAATCCTGGATAGTGGTCTTGTTGTGTCTGAATTGATGAACAAAAGTCAAGTTTCACTAAGTAGCACTCAGAAAAATCCCTGTGCAGCGACTTCAGGAAACTGGAGGTGGTTCCTTGGCCAGGGAATGTTTAGCTTCTCTGACAAAGGTATTGGATTAGTTGATCTTTCAACTCCCTTTCAGGGGGAGGCATAAATTAGGAGTACTGAATTAACAGATATAAACTAGAATCCATAAAATAGATAAGCAACAAGTATTTACTGTATCTCACAGGCAATTACACACAATATCTTGAAATAACCTATAATGGAATATAATCTGTAAACAACAACTACCCCTCATCACTATGTTATACACCTGAAACTAACACAATATTGTAAATCAACTATATTTCATTATAAATAAATAGATTCCCTTCCAGTTTCCAAATCCTTTGACTTTAAATTATAAATCTCCAGTTGGGCGCGGGATTCTGGATTCGGGGGATGTCTACAGGATCGCCAAGGGTGGCAAATTTAGAGTGAATAGAAACTCCGAATTCGTGACCCCTAGGAGATCATGTAGGTTAGCGCTACATAGTCTACTTCCCACACTGCTGGCCCGCACTTTGGGCTTTAAACGCCGAAGCGCAGCAGGAAGCCCTCGACCTTCGAGGGAATCCACTCTCCACCACTAAATTCTAAACTTCTCAAATTTCTTCTCCGAGCCTAGTTATCTTCCACAGGACTACAACTCCCAGCAGGCCACACCAGGAATTCTTGCGTTGTGGCAGCCAGTATAGCCAGTAAAAAGGAAAGGGAATCCTCAGGAACCAATCCTGAAGAGGTAGGGCAGATCCTTTCCGGGTTCCGGTTCCGGCTCCTCCCCACGGCTCAGCGAGGCGGCGCTGTTCCTGACCGGGAGACGCTGGAACTAGGTGGGTTGCGGTCGGGCCCGAGGTCGCGGTGGCTAGGCGCTAGTGGCTTCGCGGGGAGCTCTCAGCTTAGTCCCTTTCCTCTCACCGGGCAGCTGGGGTTGTGGCTTTGTTCCGCGGACCCACTGGGGAGCAAACGGGGCCCTGTGTTCCCTCGTCCCAACTCCTGGCCCCTTCCCCCGGCCTGCCCGGCCAGCCTCTCGCCCCAAGCCCCTGCCTTCCCGCCCTTCTGTTGGCCTTTGAGTACCCAGCCCCGCTGCCACTGACCATATCTTTGGGGTCAGCTTCTCCTTCTCTCCCACCCCTCTGGCCCCAAGCCCGCCCGGCAGCTCTGAACCTAGCTCCTCTAGAACGCTCGTACCTCAGACTCCGCCCGGCTGCACACAACCCAGCCTCTTGGGTCGGGTTCCCACCCCAACCAGTCTCCTCGACCCTCTGACTCTTTTGGTCCTCTTCTCTCTCTGTCTCCTTATCCAGCTCCCTTGTTCATTTCGCAGTTCTTTCACACATTTCCCCTCATATTTCTAAGCTCCCCTCTTTCCTTCCTCCCTCCAAGCCTCGTCTTGACCCTAACTAAAGGCCCCTGAAACCACTTTCCAGCTTGGTCCCGTCCCTCTAACCCAGGCCCTTGGCCTTCAACATCTCTGATCACCAGCCCCATCTTCTTGGCTCTTACTTGTTAGACCTGGCTTCTTTTCCACCGTCTCAGTCCCTTCCACCTGTGGTCCTGCCTGTACCTCTGAACCTCCTGTGAAGACAAGCGCCATGAGTTCTTCTCCCCAAATCTCTGAAATGTGATATGGAAATGCTTCTTTACCTGGCATTGTCTTCTTAGATGGTGGGTTCCCCATCTCTGTCAGTTCCAGTTTTGCTCACCCATCCTGCAAATCCTGACTAAAAGACTACCTTTTCCATGAAGCTGCTTATCCCTGAACTCTTCAGGGAGATATGCCTGTGTCATCAGAACTTCCATGGGACTGTATTTATTACTGGTGTAGCGCTTAAAAGCACTGGCTTTGGAGCAATGGGCATGGCTCCCAGTTCTGCCACTCATTTGCTGTGTGCCCTTGGGCAAATTACAAGTTTCTTGCTTCGCCTGGAACTAAACCTTCTACACTTGTATGACAGTTTCTGGAGTTTGTGGCCCATGACGCTGCACTGTACCATAAAGTCTTTTAGGGTGGTGACTGTAGTCTTAAATCTTATTCAACCCAGCATTCAGCTCTGGGAAGAGTCGGAGCTTGGTATATTGTGGATTCTCAGTATAGTAGGATCAGTAGTAAGTGGAGGCTTTGTAGCTCATTGCATAAAGAGAGCTATTGGAGCCCTAGGTGGGATGGGCAGGAATGGGAGGTGAATTAAGATCATAACCATTCACTCATACTTAAAAAATTCTGAGCACCAGGCCTTGTGCTGGAGACATTACCAAACCAGTCCCTGTCCACAAATTGCTTATAAACTAATAGTGCGAACAGACATGTAAGCAGATAATTGCAAAACGTCTTAAAAGCCAGTACAAGATCCTGTGAGTGCATAAAGGAGGAAGTGGGCAGAAATTAAGAGATTGCTAAGGAATCATGGGTGAGAATAGACACAAGTAAGCATGAAATGGGTTGTGGAGACAGGCCTGGTCTTCATTCAATTTATTTAGCAAATATTTATTAAGGATCTATGTTTGACAGCCACTACTCTAGGAGTTTGGTTTACATTAATGAATAAAGCAAAGAACCTGGCCCTAATGGGACTCATGTTTTGCAGGGGCAGGCCTGCAGACAGACCTAAAGAACAGATCATTAGAAGGTGAGAAGTGCTACGGGGCAAGGGGGAACTGAGTGTGGGGGAAGGGGTTATAATTTTTATTTTTAACTTTTTGTTTTGGAGGGGTTGTAATTTTTAAAGGGATGGTCAGGAGACAGTGACTAAGTATCAAGGAATAGTTTCTGATTTATTTATTTTTGCAGTTTTGGAAGTGAAGCAGCCTTTTTTTTCTTTTTAAACATTACTTACCTAGATTTTTTTTTTTCAAATAGTAAAGCAACTTTGTTATTATTTTTTTGTTTTGTTTTTTTTTCCATTTATTTTTATTAGTTGGAGGCTAATTACTTTACAACATTGCAGTGGTTTTTGTCATACATTGAAATGAATTAGCCATGGATTTACACGTATTCCCCATCCCGGTCCCCCCTCCCATCTCCCTCTCCACCCGATCCCTCTGGGTCTTCTTCTTTTGTTTTGAAAACAAAAAACAAAAACACTTAACAGAGATTGGTAGATTATAGTTTGCTTGCTTTTGTTTGAAATGAAGTTTTGTTAGGATACAGCCACACCCAATCATTTATGGATTTTCTATGCCTGCTTTTATGATACAGTGGCACAGTTGAGTAGTTGCAGCAGAGATCCTATGGCCCCAAATATTTACTAAATATATACTCCCTGGTCCTTTACAGAAAAAGTTTACTGACCACCCCCCACCCACTCCTTAAAGGTTTAACGTACTGTCCATATTTCACATTTTAGATTATATACACTGTACCATTTTTTAATTGAATGTTTTCCTTTTCTAACAAGATCATGTAAGGAATCTTTTTCATCCTTGCCTTCTTTACAGGGCTAGCATATAGTGTCTTCAGCAGTTAATCGCAGCTGTCATGGACTAAATGACTAGTACATGCCACACTTTACACTGAGCATTTGATAGGTGTTTCCTCTCACAGTCCAGCTGTGTCAGTTGGTATCACAATTTTAGTGATACAGGAGTTGAGGCTCAGAGTGGTTGAATAATTTGCAGTTGTAAAGACAGTATATGTCACCATTGGGATCCAGCCCTAAATGTAGTTGGTGTCCCTTCCATTATTCTTTGTTGTTGTTTTCCACAAAGGTTGAAGAATTGCCAGTCTTTCATTCACTGTCATCAGTGTCCCATCATAGCCTGGGCTTCCCTCCCTCATCTTGTTCATGTCACTCTAAAGTATTTCCACCAGTCCACTCTGCCTTTTGAAATGCCATTATTTCCTCAAGGTTCAGAGGAAACACTACTCTCCTCTTATCAGTACTTTCTCCCCCTCATTTGCCGTCTTTGTCTGTAGGAACTCAAAAGGAGCCTGTGCAGCTTAGCAAGCATCTACTGATGTATGCACAAATAGGCCCTGTGCTGGGCACCGTGTGTGGGGGGCGGAGGTGGGGGCATGGGGGCGTGTGTGCCTGTGAGACTGTGTGGTGTGAGAGTATAGCTGGGTGTGTGTATGATGTGTGGTTGTGTAGCCATGTATTGGTTCTATGTATGGGAGGGCTGTGTATGGTGTGTGTGATTGGTACATGTGTGGCTGTGTATGTGTGACTGCATGATATGCACGTGTGTTGTAAGAGTGACTGTGTTTGAGTATGACTGTGTGTTTGGTGAGTATGACTCTGTGTGTGGTATGAGACTGTGTGTGTAGGCACTGCTCTGTGGGGTGTGTGAGTAGAAGTGGGTACTGCCCAATCAGAACAGACACAGTCCAGGCTCTGCAGTGGATCTTGGAGGACCCAGATGTTACCCTTTATTTGTTAGGCTATGGTGAGATGTGGGGAAGGGAAGGGTGGTGGAACACTTAAGAGGATTCAGAGCTGGGCCTTGTAAGTGAGTAGGAATTAGAGGTTACTGTTATTTTCAGTTTGAAAGCAAACAGATAGAGGGATACTTGTAAGGAAGGTTTTTCCAGAAAAGATTAAACAGAATGGGAATTTCAATTAACTTACATTTAGGCAGAAAAATCAAACTCACCCCCTAATGGACGCTCTTGTACTTGCAGGTGAATTAGAGTCTAGACTGACATGGTTTAGTGTGGTAGTAAGATAAGTGACTTAGCATGCATGCATGCATTGGAGAAGGAAATGGCAGCCCACTCCAGTATTCTTGCCTGGAGAATCTCAGGGACAGGGGAGCTTGGTGGGCTGCTGTCTATGGGACTGCACAGGGTTGGACACGACTGAAATGACTTAGCAGCAGCAAGATAAGTGACATTATGCAAATTTCACAAATAACATCTTTTGGGGATGGACAAAGCTGGGGGCCTTCTTTTTGCTGTGGTGGGTAACTTTACATATCTGTAGAGGTTTGTCGATTGAAAGTTAGTTAAGGCATTCTTCCAAGTATTCCAGTTAATGGAATGAAATGGTTCTTTCTGTAGGGATCGTGTACTGGGACAGAATCAAACCAGGATAGAAGATTCCCTGGGGGCTGGCCTGACCCATGGAATAAAGGCGTTGGCCATTTGTGTTCATTCTCAGGGTTCAGAGATGGGCAGTGAGAAGGAGCAGAGCCCAGAACAGCACCTGCCCGAGGAAGGGGAACGGGGTAATAAGCTGTGGAGAGTGGATGACTCTGAGATCCCGGATGGGGACAAAGAGCCTGGGCAAGCAAGCCTGTCAGAGGGGCCACAAGGGCCCCGTCCAGAAGAGCCCACGCAGGAAGTCGCTGTCTCTGCTGCAGAGCCAGAGGACCTCTCTGTTCCTCGGAGGCCCGAGGTGGATGAGAAGCCCTTTGTATGTGTGCAGTGCGGCAAAACCTTCAACAACACCTCCAACCTGAGAACACACCAGCGCATCCACACGGGCGAGAAGCCTTACCAGTGTTCCGAGTGTGGTAAGAGCTTCTCCAGAAGCTCCAACCGGATCCGCCATGAGCGCATCCACCTGGAGGAGAAGCACTACAAGTGCCCCAACTGCGAGCAGAGCTTCCGGCGGCACGCGGACCTCACCACGCACCAGCAGGACCACCTGGGCCGGCGGCCCTTCCGCTGCGACCTCTGTGGCAAGAGCTTCGGCCAGAGCTCGGCGCTGGCCGTGCACTACCGGACCCACCTGGAGCCCGCGCCCTACATCTGCTGCGAGTGCGGGAAGAGCTTCAGCAACAGCTCCAGCTTCGGCGTGCACCACCGCACCCACACGGGCGAGCGGCCCTACGAGTGCGCCGAGTGCGGGCGGACCTTCAGCGACATCTCCAACTTCGGGGCGCACCAGCGGACCCACAGGGGCGAGAAGCCCTACCGGTGCACCGTGTGCGGGAAGCACTTCTCCCGCAGCTCCAATCTCATCCGCCACCAGAAAACACACCGGGGAGAGCCGGCTGGGAAAGAGTCTAGCTGAAGCGGGCGAGGGAGAGAGAACAGGGCAAGGGGTCCCAGCCTAGCCTAGAAAGATCTTTAGGATCTGCTGCTGCCCCCTTGACCTCAGGCCCTTCTCCCACTTTGGAGAATGGTTTTTCTGTTGCCTCTGACGCCAGGATCTCCGGGAAGTCAAAGAAGGAACTCTGAGTAAAAATCTTTACATTTTTCCAGGTCAATTTCTTGTGGTAGAAAGTCAGAGGACTCTCTCTTAGTTTCATCTCCTTGGGGTGAAAGAGAAATAGGGTAGGCTTAGTACTTGCTCATATCATTAGGGTGACCGTCCCCTGGCCTTTAAGGAAGTACCTGTGAGATAAAGCATCACTGTATGGAGGGCCTCTGTATTGTATATGGACTGCTTGAGCTTAGGGCGCACTGCAGGGGTCCACTAATTCCACCCACTGTGCCTCAGCCAGACAGGGGGGAAGGGGCTTCCCAGGCCTGGAGAAGAGGTCTGAGGTCCTACTTTAGGAATGAAAGGGAAGCCCTCAAGGAGCCATGATCCAGGGACCTTCACATTCCCTCATGTTTGTGACTCATCATCCCCAGCCCAGCGTGCATCTGTTTCCCCAGGAATAGCAGTAAAACCCTTTAATGAAAAGGACCCGTGTACTTATTTGGGGGCTTCAAAGAGGTGGAGAGATGGTCACACTGCCACTACTTTGGAAGGGAGTTGAATTTCAAGAAAGAATGGGTGACTTCTGAAAAGCAAAAGGAAGCCGCTGACTGAGGTCTGTGAGGAGGAAGGGGAGAGAGAGGGAAGTAATATTAATTGAGCATCTGCTGTGTGCTCTAGATCCTGCGGGTCACATTCCCATTCTTTATTTAGTTGCAGCAGCCTGCAAGGGAGTGCGCTGAGGAGACAAGTGGGTAAAGGTGAAATCGCTTGCTGTGAAGCACATTATGGGTATGTTGGTAGAGCCAGGGTGCAGACCTGGGTCTCCCTCGTTTCTGAGCGGATGCTCTTTCACTACATTCACCTTGTTGGATTCTGAAGGAGGAGCCACTTTGGGAGCTGGCCTGGGATGAGGTGATTTCCTAGAAGTGGGAGCTAGCGTGGCCTCTTGAGACAGCCCTGGACCCTTTGCTCTGTGGGATGTTAGTGGCAAGCATGAGAACCTTTTCATCTTTAGATTAATAATAGATTGACGTTATTCTGTACCTAGGAAATATGACTGTAACTTGGAGTAGGGGCTGAGGGGTGGGACAAGGTGAACTTAGAGAGTCTTTGCCCTTAGTAGCAGCAGTTTAGCTCCTAAGGTTGGGACAGCTTGGTAGAGGTCAGGCCTGGCTTCCTGCCCTTCTGAAGGCCTGGCTTCATGTGGCAAGTTTTCAGTGTTTTCTGCATTAAAGTTTATAGAGTTCACCCAGATTTCCTCCAACAAATACAAAAGACCCCCATCTCTGGCCACTCTGGGATTCTGTTCTTCCAGAGTGAGGAGCCTTCATCTCTCGCCAGCTGGCAGAATGTGACTGGCACAGCTGATGAGCTGACCTACTACAACGGGATCCTGGCACCCACCCAGGAGGGGATGTGCCTTTATTTTTTCTAACCATAAAACATGACTTCCAAACAATTCCCTGATATTTGTAGGGTCCTTTTCAGTTTACAAAGCACTTTTATTTCATATACATTTTCCTGCTCCTTGAAAATCTTCATACAAGGTATTTTAAACATATAGTCACCCAATTTGTATGTATAAATTGCTTCCTAATAATAGAAGTTGCCAGGGGCTTCCTGGCTGTACAGTGGTTTAAGACTACTTCCACTGCAGGGGCTGCGGGTTTGATCCTGGCCGGGGAGCTAAAATCTCATGCCACGTGGCCAAAAATAAAACTTAGAAGTTGCCATCTAACACCTACTGAGCGCCAGTTATTTCTGATCTGCATGACTAGCCTGCAAAGTAGCAGTATCCCCATTTTGAAGATAAGGAAATTCTGAGGGGTTAAATGACCTGACTTAATGGCTGAGCTGGGATTCCAGTTAGGCCAGCTCTTCATTTTTGCTCATTACCAAGCTAGGTCTGCTGGTCTCTCAGTCTGGGGAGCTTGGTAACATTAACCTTCCAGACCCAGAGCCTTAGTGACAACTGCTATGACTTGGAGTCTTGCTAAGACCTGCTTTGAGCTTGCTGGCCCATCTCATTTGCCCTTTTCCAACCAATTTTATAGGCTATGTTTTCAGTGTTGATCCAGGCTATTGAGTTCTGATTAGTCCATTTATTCACTCTCTGATTTCCTTTTTTGCTAACTTTATTTTCTTCTTCATTCCTTTTTCCTCTTCCCGTCTCTCTTTCCCCTCCTCTCTTTCCTCCCTCCCCACTCTGTTCCTCTCTCTCCTACTAGTTACTAGGAATACTGACAGTGAAGACGTGGCTCCTGTATTCTCTACAGTGGGGTGGCTGCCAGGTTTCAACAGCAGGCAGACCTGGAAGGGTGGGGCTCCCATCAACTCCTGGCACTTGATCCTGGTGTGGTGACCACCCACAGGCACCCTGCCCCTGCACTGAATTCACATGAAGCCCCTTCCCCTCCCATCAGCCTTTTGGCCTGCATGCAACTCAGTTCTCCCCACCAACATTTATGAAGCAGCTATTACATGTCAGGAAGCAGGGAGTTCTCCCTGCCTCACCTAAGGGAGTTCTAACTGGATGCCTGAGAGGGTCTGGAGCAGGGAAGGGATATTGTGGGTAGGTGTGGAGAAGGGAAAAGCTGAGCATGCATAGCCTATGTACAGGCCCTCTCTTCCCTCGGCACTGGAGGACCTTGACCCCTGAACTCTCTATGATAGGAAAGCTCTAAGGGGCATGAACAGCCATAGACAGAGCTCCTGGGTCCCAGCTTCTGTTGGGATAGGCAGTCACCTCTGGTCTCCTTATGCTCTGAAGTTCTGGGTTCCTTCTGCTATGAGATCCCAGATGAAAGCAGAGACCCACATGTACCTTTACCTGCAGGTCTTGCCACCTACCATCCAGTACTCCTTGGAATAAAGGCGTTTTCCCAGTCTCTAGTCCACAGAGAGACATCAACCCATTACGATTTGGGTAACAATACTTCTTTCCCATTTAGTCTCATAACACCATAGCGCAGGCAAATTACAGGATTGCTTTTGATGGAGCCTAGAAGATAGGTCTGGAACCAGTTCTACGCAGGTTTGGGTATTGGGAAATAGTGATTATAACAGCATTTACTATTGATCCTAATTTCTAAGTCTTCATAATTCTGCAAGGTAATTACTGTTTTCGTTTTGCTGATGAAGAAATCGAGGTTCAGTTAGATTAAGTAATTTGCCCATTTAAGGTCACATGGCCAGTAGGTGGCTCACCTGGGACTTTAACCAACCCAGAGCTGATACTAAGGCCTTCTTAATGACTACGTGGTAATTAAGCCTTGCTCCCTGGACCCCCACGCCCTGTCAGGTCCCACTACTCCTTAGAGTGGGCCTATCCCAGAAGGATGTTCTTTCACATCTCTGTCATGGTTATTCGGCTTGGCCTAGGAATTGATGTTCCTGGAGAAGATGGGGTGTACTGAGCTGAGGCCAGGCTGCTGAGGGTAAGGTCTGAACAAGAACAGGGATCAGCTGGAGCCCTGTGAGGCTCCTCCTGGTTCTCCCTCCCCCATGGGGTGTCTTCTGGGCACTACAGCATCTTGCTCTAGTCCCCAGGGTGATTTGGGACCCTGGGACAACCGGGGCTTGCTCTTCCTCTTCATCGGACACTGCGAAGCTGCAGGACTTTCTCTTTCCCCTGCTCTGGGACACTGCCCAGGGCCTCAGCTTCCTGCCCTGAGGCTCCCACCCGGGGTTTGATTTTCACCAACCCTAGTGTGAGACAGCAGACCAGGGTACAGCCTGCAGAGCTCCTTCACCTGCAGTAGCAGGCCAGTGATGGGGGGAGGGAGGAGCCTCCAGGAAGAGGTGAAAAGAACGACCACTTTACCCTTCAGAGTTCTTGCCTGAGACCCATGGCACAAAAGACAGATGAACAGGAGAAAAACAAGTTTATTCATGTGTATATCTCACAAACCTGAGAAGCACCCAGGGAAAATGAGTTAACTCACCCAGGTGGTCTAATGTTCAGTTGTGTCCAACTCTGCCACCCCATGTAGCCCACCAGGCTCCTATGTCTGTGGGATTTTCCAGGCAAGAATACTGGAATGGGTTGTCATTTCCTCCTCCAGGGTATCTTCCCGACCCAGGGATCGAATTCACATCGCCTGCGTTCTTTACCGCTGAGCCACCTGGGAAGCCCTATGTGGTCTAAACCAGCAGTTTAAATACCATCTTTAGCCAAAGGAGAAATAGAGGTGAGGGTGAGTAAGCCAGTTACGGGGAGGTTGCCAGGAAGAGCAGGATAAACAAGGGTAAGGTTTGTTATGCAGATTAAAGTCTCTGCCTTCCCCATTAGTAAGATTCTGTTACTGTTCAGTTGTTTTCTCCTAGGGCAGTGAGGGAGACACCCTCACAATTAGAGATTTCCTTTATAAGTGTAAATTTCCCTTTCAAAAGAAGTAATTCCTACTGTTTTTCTGAGTCATTTCTTCTGACTGTGGGAGACTGGCACTTGAACCCAGAGTTCCAAGGCAGGAAGGATGGTAGGTGTCATTTACAGTTGTTCCCAGGGGCCTGTTGGGAGCCCCAGGGGAGGGCCCTAACCTGGCCTGTATTGGACATTGGCCCCAGGAATGAATAGGACAGTCCTTCCTGCTAGGAACTCAGAGGAATGGAAACTCCCTTCTGAACAAGGTACTGGGGGAACACAGGCAGGATGCCTAACTTCACAGGAGAGGAGAAGGCTGAGAGGATTGAATCTGGTCTTGGAGAATGAGTGGGTGTTTACTAGTTAAAGAAGAGGAAGGCTATTTCCAATGGAAGGGAAGCTTTAGTGTTTTAGGGAACAGTGAAACATTTGAGGTAGTGAAGATTGTCCTGGGTGAGGAGATGAGGTTGGTAAGGTAGTCGGGGACTGGGTCCTGAAGGGT